CGAGGTAAGCCAGAAGTGCTCACAGATGACACATCTGACTGAACGAGTGTAGAGCGACTCTTGAAAGAAAGTGAGAGTGCTGAGTACAGAGCGGATGAGAGGGGCAGCTCTTGCAGATGGCCGGAGGAGACCAATCTGGGTGAGTGGCCCCTAGGATATTCCCTGGATATGTCTACTGATATATCCCCACCTGTTACAGGATTCTAGAATTACCGTTGCTCAAAGGACCTCAGGGTGGTCCAGAGCCCGGGGTGCAGATTGAGAAAGCTGGGACCCTGGGAGGGAAAATGACTCGCTCAAGGCCGCCCAGTGCAGAGAGACTGCAATCAGCCTTCCTGCCTGCCCTCCCAATGCTCTTGACCTTGACCTCCCACAGTCCACACTGGACTGGGTGTCTCCCTTCCACCGAGAAGCGGTTCCACTCTTTCTCATAGTTTGTAGTGGACTGCAGCAGCCGTCTTAGTGCCTACCAGCACTATGCCTGGTGACTCAGGCTAAGTGGTGGGGACAGAACTCATCACCTGTAGGTTACTTCTCCTACCTGGAGCAGGGAAAGGCCCAAGAGGGTTTTGCCTGGAGGGGACTTGTGGGTCACATGACACTGATATCCGGTATTTGAATAGTTGTGTGAGAGGAGTTGTTAGATTCAGTCACCATCGCCTGAGAATCCGGTTCTCAAAGTGCAATCTGGGGACCAGCAGTGTCGGCATAGCCTGGGACATGTTAGAAATAAAAAACCTGGGGTCTCCCCCAGACCCACTGAATCTGAATCTCTGGAGTGCGCCCAGTGCTGCAGACATGTGGAGGTCGGGTGGATACCTACGGCTGATGTGACGAGGATGGGTCTCTGGCAGGGGCGGCGGTGGCAGAGGTGAGCTCCCCGGACTCTGGATGCCCCCCCCACAGATGAACATGTCCCACACCCCCAGGAGATGTAGGGGAGCTACCCAGTGAGGAGAGTCCTGAACTGGATCACCCCACAAGTTTCAGCAACTCCGGATTTTATATCATAAACAGGCCAAGAAACACAATTGTTTTCCCCTTTCTAGAACTTTCTAGAATGTAAGCTCCACAAAGGCAGGCCTCCTTGTGGGTGTTTGTTTTGTTTTGTTTGCACTAGTATAACCCCAGTGCTAGAGCAGGAGCAGAGCTCAAATCCGACCCGCAGCCTTCTTTTGTAAATAAAGTTTTACTGGAACACAGCCATGCTTGTTCATTCACATATTTCCTACACGTGCTCTCACAGTACAACTGCAGAGAGTGAATCAGCATGACTGACCGTATAGCCCATAAAACCTGAAATACTGTCTGGCCTTTTTTAGAAAAAGTTGGATAGTCTGGATTTAGAATATTGCCTGTATCATGCAAGGTGTTCCATAAACATCGGATGAATGAATGAACCGTTTTGTCTGTTGGTGTGACTGAGGTGCAAAGTCCCCGGCTTAGAATACCGAGACGGAGAGGACGGGGGCGTGACTGCAGAGCTGGGCAGGTCTGGCCTGGAATCCTGGCTCCACCGTCTGCAAGTGGCGTGACCTCGGGCAAATTATTCAGCTTCTCCAAGTTTCTTCTGCCCCATGTGTAAAAGAACAATAATAGCCATTTAAGATGAAAAACCACATCCCATAGTGCACAGAAAGCACAGAGCCTGGCTCACAGACCTGCTCACAGACCTGCCATGTCACCTAGTAATTTATAGCACTGAGGAGTCTCTGGTGCCAAGGGTTTGGGCGTGGCCGATGCAGACACTGCGGAACGGAGTGTGGGAAGGTCCGAGCTCTTCCTCGTTCTTCCAGGAACAAGGGGAAAGGGCACGTTCAGGGGTGGTAGTTCAGCAACTCAGCATTTAAACTTGGAGAAAGCTACTAGTCAGCCAATTTACTTATGATAACTTTTAAGATAGTGAATGAGCAGGCCAAGATTTAATTGGCTATAGATTTTCAGATGTTTTTCCAATCGTGAAAAATAATGATTCACTCAAATTCTCTTTCCTATTCCTCTGGTGACCATTTGCATACAGTTGGCCAGAGTCAGGGCTGAGTAGCCCGAGGCCACAGGAATTACCTGGTCAGAGAAGGCCTGACCTTGGCCTGGGTTACCCGGCGGCGGTCCCGTTCTCAAAGAGAGGTGTGTCTTCTCATACCGCCCAAGTGTGGCCCCTCTGTGCTATGGGTGTTGTTATTTCACACACATTATTTTTTTCTGGCAGGAACTCTTAATACGTCCAAGGTGTTCGGGCAGAGCCCCCACGTCCTCCGATTCCCCAGGGTGAGCCAAAAGGAAAATCACCACGGGCAGGTGCAGACCCACACGAGTGTGAGGCTGAGTCAGAAACGTGTTGTGACACAGGACTGAAAATGGCTGTGTGCAGAGCTTTCCTGATTTGGAGATTTTTGCAGATTAGCCCACACGCCTGCTTTCAACATATCAGCACATCGGTTTTCTCAACCGTGTTGTGAGAAACATGGCAATTGCTAGAACTCTTGGGGGCCATGCCTTTTCCTATGTGAACATGGCGTCTGGAGGCGCCCCTGCCTCCCCCGTTCACGCACAGCATCGAAGCCGACCCCAGCCCTCTGATCACGGCCCTGGCCAAACACCGCTGCCCTGCACCTGGAGGATCTCTAGGTTCTGGGAATCAGCCGTGTTTACTGCGAGGAGCGCAGCCTGAGGAAGAAGGGAAACTGGAAACATGTAATCCAGATTTTCATTCTTCACATTTTTATCTCCTTATATATTGGGATCCAGAGCTCTGTAATCCATACCGCCTCTCTGCAGAGAGAAACAGTTTTCTGCCTCCAAAGTGTCTCCAGGGCCACCTTCCTCTGACCTTTTACCATAGCCATCCATGCCTGCTGGTCACTAGAATGCCGCCTGCCACCCAACATGTTCAAAATAGCCACAAATTTGGGGTGTCCCACTGGTAACTCAAGTGTCCCTGCATCCTTCCAGAAAGCACAACACGTGCCGCAAATGCTCCTACATACATCCACAGACCGATTCCAAATCAGACGAGGAAGAGTCCTTACAGATGAGGAGGGCGTGGCTGGTGTCCGGGGAGGGGCGGAGCTCTGAGCGAGGACCAAGCTCGGCTTCCGAGCTCCTGCGGGAACTCCCCTCTGTCCCGCCTCCCCGCCCTCTGTGGTTCTCCCCATCCTCGTGTGGGCCGCTCCGCTTTTCCTCCAGCAATTAAACATTGAGGCGGCTTCCTCTCAATATGACAGTGACAAAATCATAGGGGACCCTCAATCCAGAAAACCCCTGTTGTTAATTAAAAAAAAAAAAAAAGCAAATCCTCAGTCTCTCTGCAGGGCAGTGACAAAGTGGATGGTATGTGTCCAGGGGAAGAGGGTCGAGTCGGAGGCCTGGCAAGGACAGCCCCTCCCCCACGTCCGCTCACTCCGGTCATCTGGGTGCAGACCGGGGCCAGGGCCATCAGCCACCCTCCCTGAGAACTGGGCTTTTCTTCAGGAAGTGGGGGGCCCGACACGGGTCTACAGGGCTTGGTTAATGATAGTGTTTGGAATTCCAGGGTTTTTACAGAAACTTCCTATGATATTTTGTACAAAAGCCTCAAGAAGTTAGCAGAGCCTTCTTGAGGAGGTCACGTGATGTCTAAGACGGCAGGGCTGGTCTCTTCAGCTCCGAGCCCGGGCCTCTCCAGACTGCCACCCCCTCAGGGCTCGCTCTGCTCCACCCCACCCAAACCTGACCAACCTCCCCCTGCCCCTGCCTCCCTCCGCCATTGGCTCGTCTTCACCTTGTGAAGCTCCTCCTCTGCAGATAACCCCCACCCCCCAACCCTTTGTCCGTGTCCTCCCCTGAGGTCACGTTGTGGAAACCGGGCCTCAGCCTCTTCACTGGCGCCCAGGCATGCCCTGGAGTTCCCCTCTGCTCCCGGGGCCAAATCCTTCTCCCACTGCCTCGGCCCTTCCCGTCCCGCTCTCACTTCCAACGCTGGTGGGGTTTGGAAAGGGGGTAAGACCTACAGTCCAGAAAGCTCTCCAGGCACTTGGGTGAAAGCAGGCCAGGGGAAGCCTAGAGCTACACAGTGGGCATCCAGGTGAGAGGGGATCCTGGGAGTCGGCTTTTTTATTGTTAGCACGCGCCGGAATTCTAAACACTGTCCCAAGTCACCTGCCAACTCTGCGCTCCCTGCCCTCCACCAAGTCTCCACCGTCCATGCCTCAGTTGCCTCCAGAAACTCTTCCCTGGGCCGGTGAGAGCATACGGAGTGTGGTTTTCTTGCTCTCCTCCGGCCAATCCCTCAGACTCCACTCCCACAACGCAGTTACCTGAGGACAAAGGCCAGCCAACGCGAGAGAGCGCGTCCTGGATGGAGGAAGGGGGTGACAAGGTTGCTAGGCAGGGAGAGCGGGCATCTTCCCACCTTCCCGTCCACCCAAGCGGAGCTGCAGTGGCGACAAGATCCGAGACCTCAGCGGACCTCGGGAGGGCAGGAAGCAGATGCTGAAGTGCGTGGACCACCCCTCGCTTCAAATCCACACGTTCCTGCCCCGCACCTGTGTTCCCCTGGCAAGTGAGAGGTCGCCTGGGAATGTGGCTTTGCCTTTCGCCAGAGTCCCCACTCGCCCCAACCCCATTTCCTAATTTCTTCCTCCCTGCTTTTAACTCATACTGCTTGATTTGTTATTCCCCAAATAAGCCACCAGAGTTCTTTCTGGAACGAGGCGGGTCTTAATCACATCTACTCCCATACTCTCTTTACCGTGCACATCAACGCAAACGTCCCCCTCCCCAGACAACTGAGAAGAACACGTGCACACGAGCGGCTGGAAGCCCGGGTGCATGGCACACCGAGATAAGCACGGAGCGAGCCTGCAGTGTCCCTTGGGAGCCCAGAGATAAGCGTGTTGACACACGCGGGCCACTCAGAGCACTGGGTGAGAGGCTCCTGGCGTGGGCCTCCCGGAGCCAGGGTGACTGAGGGCAGAGGTGAGGGCTGGGCCGCAAAGAGAGGAGGGAGCTGGGTGGAAGGAGGGGTCTCGTGGCGTGAGAAGCTCGGAGTGGTCAGAACAGAAACCCCAGGAGCAGTCTGCTCACTCAGCGTTATTATCATGGTTTCGAGGTGTCTGTCTGGATCATTTTGTCCGTCTTAGGCTGGGAACCTCTAGGGGACAGAACTGGGCCCACACTCAGTGCTGCCTGAGCTCCATCAGGCACGAAGGGAGCGACAGGTAAGATGTCTGACTCCTGAAAGATGAACAGGTCGGAGAGACGTGTGTTTACGTGGTCCAGCTCTGCGTGAAGCAGTCCTGGAGCACTTCCAGCATGCCATCACATGGAATCCAGCCTCTGCCTGAAACGCTTGCGCCTGAAGGCACGCATCCAGAGCTCGGCTGGAGCTGGAGGTGGAGGCGGAGGGAAGGGGACGAGAGGAACTGACAGACGGAGTCACTCGGCGAAGGCAGGCCTGCGTTTCTGGAGCCAATGGACGACGAGAGGGAAGGAAGAAGGGAGACCACCAGGGGCCATGGACGTGGGCTACACCGGATGAAAGAAAGACCCTACACTTGGGAATCAGTCAAACCTGGACTCCACACTCGAATGGACCACTAATACCCTGCGTGAGCTTAGACAGGTCATTTCATCTCTTTGAGCCTGTTTTGTCAATTGCAAATAGGAAATAATCCCTGTACTTTAGGGTTCTGGCGCTCAAGTGAGACAGCACGTGGAACAGCACTTGGCCCAGAGCAGGCGATCAAGACCTGTCAGAGCCTCCTCCTTTCAGTCTGCCCCAGCCTTGCCACCCGCAGGTAAGAACTTGACCTTGAGTATTCATTGTCTACGCCTCGTAACAAGGACTAAATTTATTAACTTCGTACTGTGTGCTTGACCTTGCACTCAACATTGTCTCTTTTCATCCTCACGACAACTATGAAGTTGGAAATCTCTGCTCTACAGGTGAAGAAACTGAGGCTCAGAGACGTTAAGTGACATGTTGGCCCCGGGTCTCGCCGCTGGGAAGGGGCAGGACGGAACTGAACCCGGGACGTGGCCGGCAGGAGAATCTGCTGCTGCCCTGGGCGGCTCCCAGGTAAATCGTTGGGGATTATTCTGTCGGGCAGATCTTTAATCCCCGCCTATCAGCGTTTGGCCAAAGCTCAAGAAGACTTTGCTTTAATGCCCGTAAACACTAAAATAAACAAAAGGAAAAAATCGAAGTGGAAATCCTTAAGAGGAAGATCATCTAAATAAACACGGAGGAGGGATTCGAGGGAGGGGGAAAACTCACAGACACAGACGGCTGCATGGTGATTACCAGGGGGGATGTGGGGTGAGGGGAGGTAAACAAACAAACAAAAAAACACTTAGAAAATAACAGTAATCTCTTGGGCACTGGAGACTGTCACCCCAGTTCCCAGACAGCTGAAGGCCACAACTATGACAGACTCAAGGTCAGCAGTTCTTCCTTAGGGTTTTGTGACTCACTCAACTCGCCCGAGACGATGCTAGCTCCCCTCACAACCCACGCACCCGGACATTAAGCCATGGAGAGCCCAATCTCAAAGCCTAATGTCTGTGTAGAGCTCCAGTTTAATGGACTTTCTCATTTGCAGGGTATCTGTTGGTCCTTACAACCCTGGGGGAGGTATAGGCAGGGCCAGGCTCACTCGTAGTCTCAGAATCCCAGAATGGAAACTGGAGCTTCGGAGAGGTGAGGGGACTTGCCCAAGGTCAATGAGCTGGTAAGAGGCAGAATCACAATCTAAATTCCTTCTTCCGACCCCTTTTCCTGTGCTGTTTCCACCACTACTGGCGCCTCCACCCCGGTCCAAGTTAAACAGGAGGTTAGGGCTCTTTGTCAGCAAACGTCTAGACTCCTGGGAACTGTGTGGATGTTGGCTAAGGTGGCCTAGGTTGCAAAGAAACAGAAGATAGGATTCATGATAAAAACAAAACAAAAAATAAAAATCTGTCACTTCTTGAAATAATAGCTTTATTAAGAAATAATTCACATACCTAGAAATTTGCCCTTTTAAAAGGCACAGTTCAGTGGTTTTGAGGATCTCACAGTTTTGCAGCTTTTGCCACGACTTCAGAGCCCCTTCCTCATGATAGAAGGACCCCATAGCTGTCTCTGCCCATTCCAGATACCCCCGCCCCCGGGAACCACCACCCACCCTGTTTCTATGGATTTTTCTCGCTGGGCATGTCATACAAATAGAGTCATCCAGTGTGCGGCCTGTTGTGTGCGGCATTTTTCACCTACGTCACCATGTCTCCAAGTTTTATGCACATTGTAGTGTACATCAGCACTTCCTTGTTTCATGGCCAAATAATAATCCACGGTACAGTTATGACGCATTTCCTTTATCCGAGTCTCAGTGCTGTTCAGCGCCCTGAGCTCAGTGCTCAGGGCACTCGTGCTGTTTCCGCCTGCCGGCTGGGGTGAACACGGCTGTGGTGAACAATGCTGCCATGAACACCGCTGTCCACGCTTTGTGTGCGCGTGTGCTTTCACTGCCTGCGCGTCTGAGCCTCACCGCGGAACGGCTGGGTTGAATGGTGGCTCCGTGTTTAGCCCTTTGAGGAACCGTCAGAATAAGTCAGTTCTTTATCCTATTTATTCCTTAATCTTTACTATCCTGTTTATACTGTTTCCAAGGTGGCCGCACCATTTTACGTTCCCACCAGCAGTGTGTGAGGGCCCACATCTCCCAGCACTTGCCGTGGTGTGTTGTATGTGTGTATATCATTACCCCTCCCGCAGTGTGGGGTGGTTTTGACTTGTGTTCCCTAGCAAGTGATATGTGTTCCTTAGCTCCATGAGCTGCTGTAGTGAGTTAGTAGGGCCTGCAGAGGAGGCCGTGGGAACCTGGGATCCAACAGCCAGTTGCTTGGAAGCACACATAACAGCCTGGACTGGCAGGTGGTGTCTGAGGTCGGGAGGTCGGAGCAGGACACAGCCTTGGCTTCGAGTCGCTTCTGCGAGATACCAGTACAGCAACTCCAGCCCTGTCTCGGGTGCTGTTTGCACGTTGTAGCTTTTTCCGTCCTTTTACTGTCAACCTGTTTGTGTCTTTGAGTGTCACGTGTGTCTCCTGTAGAGAACATACAACCAGAAGGAGATTTTTATCCATTGTTTTCAATCTCTGCTTTTTTATTGAAGTTCTAGGCCATTTACATTTAAGTAATTACTGATAAGGGAGGATTTAATTTTTCCTTTTGCTGTTTTTCTTTATGTCTTGTGTATTTTTTGTTCTGTGCCTTTATTACTACTGTATTTTGTGTTAAATAGATATTTTCTAGCATAAAACATTCCCCTGCTATTTCTTTACATAGACATACATGCACACACATACATACATGCACATACATACATATGTGTGCATACATGTACTATTTTTCCTTGGTGATTGGCCCGAGGATGACAAGAGTTTAACTTAAAACCATCTAGTTTGCATTAATGTCCTGCAGTGTTACGGCACATTCTCACTTACGTTTCTCTTCCAGTTCTCAGGAAGAAGCAAGTAAGCAATCTGGGCTGGAAACCCTCTCCCTGCCGTGGCCTGAGAACCCGTCCGGAGCAGTGTTACTCGCGCATAATGCTCCTCTGGGGACAAATTATAGCCGCATGAGAAGGATCCCTTTTCGATTCCCAGGGTATAGATTTTCAGAGTGATCCCGGCAACTTTGCATGACCTTTCCAGCATCCAGAGTGCGTTCAGATATATCAGCCATTCTCAGAGTCTGGTCTGGGGATCCTTGAGTGCCCCTGCGACCCTTTCAGGGGGTCGTCAAGACAAAACTATTTTCATAATAATGCCAAGACGTCATTTACCCGTTTAAGCTCTCATTTTTCTCACGCAAGTACAGACTGAATGCTGAAGCGGACATGAGAATGTACCGTCTCTGTTAAGCCAGGCGTTCAAGGGATTTGCAGAACTAAAACAATGCCTCTCTTCTCTCTAGCCTTGTTCTCGAGAATATAGGGATAGCTCATAGAGCAAGTAGGTTTTTATGCTACCAGATAAGGGTGTATTACTGTTCATTTTAAACGAGTTAAATGTTTTTTAACTTCCCAGCTTTAATGTGTAACATGGTAAACATCGATAACTATTACACACTGAAACGGAAGTTTATTTGGGTTCTTCACCAATTTGAAGAGTGTAGAAGGGTCCTGAAACGGGAAGTCCTGAGAGCTGCCCACATGCACCCCCACTTAACCCCCACGATGGCACGGGCACACTGTCCTGCCTCCCTCTCAGCCTGCGGCAGGCAGGGCCGGTTCCGCCCCTCAGCGCCATGGCTCCTTGCACGAGGAGCCTGGGACGGTCCCCAGAAGGACCGGTTGAGGGGAAGGCAGCTGACGACTCTGGGGCCACAGTGAACCAGGTCAGTGGAGTGGCTAGAGGGGCACTTCCTGGTGGCTTCAGCCTCTCCCAGCTTCTAGAGGCTCTGCCCACCTTGGCTTCCATGACACCACGTTTCCAGTTCTGCAAATGGCTCCTCTGCTCTCTTCCCCTTGAGTGTTGCTATTACCAGCATCCCCTCCTCGGCCCTCTTCTGGTCTCACTCTCCGATGTCCCCGGATAAGCTTGTCCACACCTCATGTGTGACGGTTCCCAGGCTCTCCAGCTCAGACCCTTCTCTTCAGTGTCAAAGCTAAGTACTGGGTGTGTCTACCCGGACATCAGATGTTTAAACCCGCATGCTCAAACTGCCCAATCCCTGGGCATCCGGTACATTGTACGAGTCACAGGTGATGTGCCAGCGAACAGCACGGAAGTCCCTGTCCTCAAGGGAAAATCAACACCGTCTAGCAGAGATGATCAGTCCCAAGGCAACCTTTATATTTGGGGGTCTGGTGATTATTCTCACCATCAGCCCGATCGCCCAACACCCCTTCTTCCCTGTCTGCTCCAGCCAGCCCGTCACCGAGTCCTCGTGCGTCTGTCTTCTCATGTCCTGTCACCACGACGGCAGCACCCTCAGACCAAAGCTGGGTGTGAACTCTCTCAGTGATCCCGTGGCCACTCTCCCGGACTCCTGTCTCATCCCGTCCTCATTCACACATCGATCGCCTCGCTCCCCGAGTGGCCCTTTCACAGCCCCAGATCTCCGTCTTTACTGCCTAGGCTCGGTAATGGCTCCCTCTTCTCTGTAAAATAACATCCAGACCCATGAGCTTTGTAAGCTTCCTCAGGAATTGACCTTTGTTTCATTTTCTGTCGCTCCTCTGAATGTATCCAGTGCATTTCAAAAGATGTTTTTGACGGCAAGAATGCCCTCCCTTGTCACCTGGTCATTATTTGTAACCTTCCTAGAGGGTCTTCTTCTCTGTTAAATTTTTATGACCTTCTCAGGAAGTCTGGGTTATTCCCCCTCTTGGTCTACCACTCTATCTTACACAGGCCTCTTTTTATGTGGCACTTACCCCTCTGTGTCATAACTGCTTGTTTCCATGGTGATCTCCCCCCCAGACAGAATACCGTGATGGAAGGAACTGTACTTTCTTCATCTCGGGGTCACCAGGCCTGGCCCATGACTGGCATAGAGTGGGTGCCGAGGAAGCACTGGTTGACTCAGTGCTGAAGGTCTTTAAAATCCGGATCACTCCATCTCCTCCCCATTTCTGTGAACTTACAATTCCCTTCCCATGTCCCACCCAGTCGCCCAAGCCCACAACACGGGTAGCTCTACGAGTAGATTCCACACTCGTCCTTGTCCCCCACAGCCAGTGAGTCACCGGGCCCGACGTATCCTGTCTCTGTGACCTCTCCCCAGGGTCAGCCGCCCTTCCTCACCACCCGTCGGGAAGTTCCACGCCCCTGGTGATCACAGTAGCTGTATTTTCAACCTCAGCAACTGGAACGTGGGATTGTGGTGTCACCTCCCGATAGGAGGCATTCTGAGAAACAGATGCAAGTTCTGAGAGGTAGGAATACTGTAAATGTTCTCATGATTTCCAGGGACAGTGGTAGAAAATACTTGAAGTCATAATGCCACTAAGATTTCAGGCTGGGCGGTCAGTTAACCTTAGCAGTAAGGTTCTTGGAGACTGGTTAAGAGTCTCAGACCGTAAGTTATTTATTGCCTGGGTGACAAAAGGCAACTGCACAGACAGGAATTACTGAGAATACAATGTTGTGAGTATGAAATAAATGGGGAAGTAATTGAAAAGAGACATTCAGAGGAGATATTCAGGGCTTTAAGGTCATTGTAGCAGAGGTGGGCCAAGTCCAGCCTCCACCAACATAACTGGACCCTCGTCCCCGGCCAGAGCTGGGGGCCTGAGGAAGCTGGCCCCAGAGCAGCTCGTGGGAGACAGTCTGAGACACAGGACTGGACCAGCATGAAAAGACACCATATCAATCAGATCCCCTCCTGGAGTCTGAACTTGGGAAACCCAAATGGTAGATCTGGCAACAAAGGTAGGTGCTGAAGACAGGTCTCGGGGGTTCCCTTTGTGGAGGCAAAGGCGGGGCTGCAGGGTCAAAGTCCCCGTCAGCCCCAGTCAGGAGGAAACGGGGAGCGGGAGCAGACAGAGCAACGGTCGGCAGAGGGGCCAGCAGCGCTCTGCTCCATGTAAGTGACAGTGGCGTCGGAGCAGGAGAGACTGCACAGCTGGAACGAGAGGTGGAGCAGCTGGTCCCCAAGTTCATGCCGGACCCTGATGTCTTGCCAGCCGCAGTCTAAGTCTATGCGCAGCCTCACAGCCGCCCCTGAACCTTCTTTCCCTGGCTACAGGTCGAGTGCTGTTGCTTGTGACCTGAAAGCTGAACTGAAATAGATTCGCCCAGGCAGATAGATGGAGGGAGAGCACGGCACGGCACGGAGGGCCGGGGCAAAGACCAGATTTCCCGTGGATGACTTAGGGAAGGGTGGAAAGTGATTTTTTTTTTACACAGGAAATAAAAGTGATCGGAATGCCTTAACTTTTTAAATAAGCCAAATTGGTATTTGGCAAGTGGATGAGTGGGCGATCGAATGTGGGTGAAGGCCAGAAAGTATACAACTTTGAATAACAGGATCAGACTTGATTCGCTTAGACTTGATACCACAGGCCATAGGCAACCACAGCAGTTTGGAAAAGGAGGGAGGAGATGCCGTCTACATGGGTTTTGAAAAATCGTGATGGTCTTAGGAGACATTCCATTTCCAGCACTGAGAGTGCTTGCTTCAGCAGCCCCTCAGCGATGTGCTGGGCCGGTGTGGGGAGCTCAGGAGCGCCACCTGTGGTTGGCAGCGGAACTTCTGACTAGGGCAGCCTGCGGGAGGAGGCTTCCTCTCCGACAGCCTAGAAGCAGGAACGACAGCCAAGAGCTGTACGATCAGTGAATGTCACCTCCACGGGTAAACCCATGCGCTGTCAGTTCCAAATGGGCCCACGTGACAAGGACGGCGGGCCCCGTGCGGACATTCACAGAGAACCCAGATGTCACCGGGAGAACCCCTCTGTCATCCGGGTCTCACCCCTTAATCGGGCCTTCGCAGCAGCTGTTTCAGGCCGTGCCAGCACGGACCCAGGTCTCAGCAACTCCTGAGTCCCCCCGGAGCCCACTCACAGGACACGGATGAGCAGTAGAGAGTCTCCTGACATTTTCAGGGGTGGGGAGGGGAGTTTGCGCTGCGCAGCCCGCAGCCCGCAACTCACCGGACGTGAGTGCTGTGTGAAGCCCCCCTTTGCTGGGCAACCACCAGAGGCTTCTTTTTCAGCCCATCCCCCTGTCCAGGCCCCCTGTCTAGGGCTCCCTTTCTCCTCCCAGATTCCTCCTGCTGTTTTGCAAAGTCATGCTGCTCCGCCCTAGCTGCTGCCCCCCAGTGTGCATACCCACACCCCAAACACAGCTTAGATCAATAAGCTGGGTCCCCTACAGTCTAGGGCACCCACCCTCCTCAAGATGACAATCGAGGTTATGAATAAAGCATTGTGTTGTTGCAACATAAAGCAATAAGCATACGGATTAGTATCATCCGGTTCCTTGGCCCAATCACTTTGCTCTCTGGGCTTCTGCTTCTTATTCTCTAACTTAAGAGGTACAGGTGGGCCAATCTGGGTGAGTCCCCTCTACCAGTCAGCTCTCTGTTTGTTCTCGACTTAAGAGTCAAGTGGAAGGACAGTTGGGGATGAAGAAGGCAGCTACATAAACCCAAGCCTTGGGGTGGTGGGGGAATGGGGATGGGAGGGGGAGAAAGGATGAGGGAGGGCAGGGTCTGGAGGGCAGAGGCAGGAGGAGTGAGGAAAGGGAGGCGGGGCTGCCCCCTCCAGCAGGCCTGCTGCAGCCCCAGTGCGGAGCTCTGTGCAGAAATGGCTTTGTCGCAGCCGCCGCCCACGCCCTGACTGGCTCACGCTGGGCCCAGGATGGATGACTTCTTGATGAAGTGCATGCAGCACCCTGCAGGGGCCCGCAGCCTCCAGGAGGAGAAGAGCTCGGCAGCCAGCGCATCGCATCCGGCTCTCCAGAACGCCCAGCCCATCTCTCCTCTGCTTTCTCTTTAAAGCAGATGTTCCCGCTGTCGCTGTCCTTCTATCTGTAGCTTCTCAGTGAGCGAGAAGGGGGAGAAGCAGCCACAGCGGCAGCCCCAGGGCCGTTTCTGCGGGAACACCTATGGATGCCTACTGCAACGGGCAAGAGCAGAACAAAGTCGCTTTTATGTCCAGCTTTCCAAAAGCCTTTGTGTGCTTCAGAAGCTGGTTATTATTGCATTATTAAAGCCCCAGTGAGCGGGGCCAAGGCACGGATACGCCAGAGCTGTCCCGGGCAGCTTCAGCTAGTTCAGACTTCTCATCCTGTGACCTAGCCTGACTCCTGGCTTGCCATCCTCGCAGCTCAGCCAAGGGGGAGCAGGAGGGTGAGGCCAGGCCCTTGCCCGGGACTGCTCACCAAACTGGTCCGTTCAGTTCCCAGGAATCATTCGGAGCATAATCCATTTTAGCAATATTGTGTTTCTTAAAGCACCAGCAGAGTAGCATGGAGGCGAAACTGTTGCATAAGGAAGTAACTGAAACCAGGTTTTCCCGGGTTTCAGCAAGCAGGTTGCTTAGGGGAGGCTGGGAGGGCCCAGTGCTTGGGCGGGTGTGAGTGGCTGGGGCTGAGGACTGGAGGTCGGGGTGGGCACCGCCTGGGCAGAGTTTGCTGAGCACAGGTTTGAGCACAGGTCTGTGCCAGACTGTCACAGATCCCTAGTCCCAGCACCTGTGAGCATTGTCATCTGTCCCAAACCCTGCTTTCACAGAGGAAGAGAGGAAGCCCAAAGGGGCAAGGTGACTTGTCCAAGGTCACCCCCGTCAGTAGGTGTCCCGCTGAAACAGCCACAGCCTGCTCTGCCTGGGCGGCATTCTTCCTGCAGGGCTGCAGGCGCGGGTGCCCTTTAAGTGGCAATGCCAGGTTGACACTGGTGTTTGGACGGCTAAGTCCTAGGAAGCGCAGCCCGTGTTTTTCATTGGCCCGTCTGTGGCATGCAGCAAGGCCTGGGCCCAGGCCCAGTTAGGAGTTTACGCTTCCGGACAAACTCTGAAAACAAAAAAGATCAATGTCACATCTTCCAACCAGCCCCCCTGTGCTGTCCTCGTGGAAGTGTGGAGACACATCCCACTGCAGAGGATGCAGCGCAGCAGGGTGCCGCCGCAGGTGGGGGCCGTGCAGCCCGCGCACCCTCCGCAAAGGTGCCCACCTACCACCACCCAGCAGGGCGCTCCTCATCTTTCCCATCTTGTGTCGTTTATCCTCGAGTAGAAAAGCTTTTTCTCTCTGCTGGCCCTTTCTCTGAACTTCCCTCTTCCCTCACTCCTATTCACTAAGGGTTTCACCTTTTTTTTTTTTAATTTATGACTTTCAGGTTCACACTCACTTTTTAAGCTATGACCACCAGGCTGTTGGTGAGCCCTGCCTACACCACCCTGTTTGAAGCCAGTGAGCCCATCTTCAGGCTCCTGCTTCCCCTCGGGACATAGTCTTCCAGCTGCCACTGTTCACATGCCGCTTCCTCCAGGAAGCCTTCCTTGGCCTTTACCTCCCCCTGACCCAGGAAGCTGCCACCCTAAGAGCAAGACCCATTAGTCACAACATCCTAGAGATGCCCTGAGGGAGCTCTCAGTGCGTGTGGAATGCTTTGTTTACACGCCCGTCTTCCCCTTGGATCTCCCCTGTCCAGTGTGGTGGCCACCAGCCACAGGCGGCTCTTGAGCTCTTGAATTGTGTGTAGGCTGAATGGAGATGTGTTGTAAGTACGAGATACATACCAGATGAGAAACAGTATGAAAAA